GTACGGGCCTCCGTATAGGAGACAAGGGCCCCTCGTGGGGCCCCCGGGGTCCCCTGGCTTGGGGGTGGGGCCGATGAGTTAAGGAGTTTGTATGCTGCGGCAAACAAAACAAATATAATTTGTTTAATAAAAACTAAAATTAATTAAAATAAATAAATTAAATTTATATTTGTGTGTATAAACAAACAAAAGAGAGAAGAAGGCAACCAGGGAGGGGGGAGGCCTCGGGTGTCTATGCAGCTTTTGAGTTAGGGGTTTGTGTGTCTGTCTGTTGTATTTTTCTTTTTTTATCTTTCTTTTTTTATTTTTGTTTTTTAATTAAAATTATTTATTTAATTTTATTTATTTTATTTTATTTATTTTATTTATATTTCATTTCGTGCTGCTGCTGCAACCAAACAACCCCACGCTGCTCCCGTGGCGGCAGGGGGCCCCCGATTGAGGCCTCATGCAGCAGCAGCAGCAGCAGCAGCAGCAGCAGCAGGTGGGACGGCGGCAGCGGCTGCTGCAGCAGCAGCCTTTGCTGCTGCTGCTGCTGTTGCTGCTGCTGCTGTGCAGCAGCAGCAGGCCCTGCTGCAGCACCCGGTTAAGCTTGAGGCCCCCCTCAGCTGCCCCCCCCCTCCGCTGTCTTTGCTTCTTTGAAAGAATTAAAGCTGCTGCGAAGACAGCACGAGTAAGCCCTGCTGCTGCTGCTGCTGCTTCTGCTGCTGCTGCTGCTGCTGCTGCTGCTGCTGCTGCTGTAACTGCTGCTGCTGCTGCTTCTGCTGCTGCTGCTGTAACTGCTGCTGCTGCTGCTGCTGCAACGGCTGCTGCAATTGCTGCGGATTGTGTTGCTACTGCTGCCACTGCTGCTGCTGCTGCTGCTGCAATTGTTGCGGATTCTGGTGCTGCTGATGTTGCTGCAGTTGTTATTTCTTTTGCTGCAGCTGCTGTTGCTTCTGCTGCAGTTGCTGCTGCTATGGGGCGGCATATGCGGGGTGTATGTGTGTCTCTGTGTATGTTGCTGCTGCTGCTGTTTGTGTTATATGTTTGCTGCTGCTGCTGCTGCTGCTGCAGCAGCGGCAGCAGATTCGTGATTTAAACTTGCTGCTGCAGCAGCAGCAGAAAGAAGGACGGATACTCATAGCGAGGCCTCTGCCTGAGTACTTCGTTAGTTCAGGTGTACAGACACCTCAACAAATAAATAAATATATAAATACATATATATATATATATATATATATATATATATATATATATATATATATA